GAGGCTTTTAAAATGTCAGCAAAACAAGCTATAGTTTCTAATTGTCAACTGCATCCACTCTATAGCATAGTTTTGCAAAACATAGTAGTTAGAAGGCCTGTATAATATCTATCTATCTATCTATATCTATATATATATATACATAAGAAGAGAGTGGAATGATTACACATAGCCAATCACAGAAGACTTCTGGTTAGCAAAGCACAAAACAGCCACTCAAAATTGAGAACGCATGTGTGTGAAAAGGTAATGATTTTTAATAATGCTGCCTGCAGAAATGTTACAACTAAACGTACCAGCTGAAGCTTGTTGCGATTTCTATTTTGTATTGAATGTGTGAAATCGATTGATTCCTCTATGATCAGAGTTTACTTTAAAATGCTCATATCTTTGTTATATAAAATGGATCGCAGTGAATATCTTAGGCGTGAATATATTTTACTTACTTTTAATTGTGTTTTACTTACTTTAAAAAAACTGTTCAAACAGAAATATTAATTAACAGTTCATATTTGAGATATTTCTTAAATAATGCACAAAAGTGCAAATCATTGGTTCACAAAATAATGTGAAAAGAAAGATCAATGAGAAATGTGCATAGCTAGGTTTTGTGAATATTCAGAGATTGGCGAGCGGTAGCGAGCAGGGGGCGGAGCCCTCTAGTATATATATATATATATAACATTTTGCATAAACGCTATTAACGAGTATAAATTAATTTAACTAAGAATGAAAAAAAATGCACTGAACACATCAACCACGCAAGAATCTGCTGAACAAAATCTGCAGAGCAAAAGGAAAGACACTGAGGGTCATCCCATAAACCCAGTAGCTGCTAAAATGTGTATTATGGGGGGTGGGTGTCGGAAATACTTTCTAGTTATTCAAAAAAGACAGATAAAGTTGGAAAACTCAGCCATTAATGAAAAAGGGATGAAGAGTTTACTAGTTTTCTAAGAATAAGAACTTCTGGAATGCATGGGGTCATAAAATGACCCCTTTGCTACCTGTCGGGTAAATATATTTTATCGAGAATAAATGCTCGTAGCTCATGGAAATAAAATAAAGAAGAAAATATCCAGTTTTTATCTTTTTGAAAAAAATGAATCTAAGAGCGACAACCAGGGTTTTGGTGGTTCAGGTGTATAACTATGATATTCAGATTCGATTCTAGAAAGTAAATTCGTTTCTTATTGACATACTATGATTCCTACTACTTACTGAGCCCAGAAATAAGAAAGACAACTGTAGTTACAGTATTTCATTTACAGTTTGCTTTTGGAAGAAACAGAATATTTTTCCCGGCAAGAAACATTCTTTTATGCAGTTTAATTGGTTCTGGTATGACGAATTTTTCATTCTCTGCGAAAGGTAGAAATTAAAGTTTAAATCTGGTAAAAATTGGGTAAATAATTTCTGCTGCTCCAAAGGGGCACCAAGAGGAAATGGATTTTATATGAACATTTGAATTACTCACATGGAAGGGTTTATGAAACAATTTTAAATCAAATTTGTAAAATCAAGAATCAATTATTCGAAAATAAGTTATGCTATTGCTATAAAAATTTTCCCACAAAGCGTACTTGACATCTTTCCCAATTAAGAAGACTCCATACCAGGGAATCCTTTAGTCACAAATTACATTTCCCTTCCCTGACTAATTTAACTCAAAAGAAATAAAAAGTGAGTTCAAGTAAAATTAAAGTAAGCCATCAAGTTTCAATCGCAGAAAAAAAATTCAAATTATCAAAATGCAATCAAATTATTGGAAGAGAAATTCTCTTCCAATAATTGTAATGCTAATTGTAATGCTATTGCGTAATGCTAAGTTATCTTCACATAATTTAATTTTATTCGGATATTTTAAAATTTTCTTTTCAATATTTAAAATGTCTTGTTTTACTCTAGGATTGTTTGAACTCATGTTTTCTATGCTTTAAATTTTAAACTGTTTATGAAAGTTCTGATTATTATAAAAAAGGTTTTTTTCTTCTTTTTTTTAGATTTTCATTGAGAGGATTTCCCGTGACGGTAAGATAATACTAAGATTTTTTACTCAAATGTTTAAGGTTTTAAATAATTTTTTTAACTAGTCGACATAGATCAAAGCCTTACATGGATGATAGATTTCAGTTGAAAAATCTGGTGACAATCCTCATCTTGATTCCGTTTTTTTGTTCATTGAAAGTCAAAATTTTTCAACGTTTGATGACTTTGGTAATCAGTGGTCCTTGATGAATTTATCTAATAAAAAATTATGGACATTAGGGAGGGTTATAAATCATTGCATGACTATTAATTAGCTTTTTATTCAGTAGTTATCTCAGAATAATGTATTCATTTCTGTCAGCTCCTAAAAATACAAAATTTGTTCTTTTGGAAAATTGAGGTAATTACAAGAAAATCTTTCCAGCTTGAGCTATAACAAACTCATACGCACGTGGGACGAAATAAAAGCTTTGCAAAAAACACAACCAACTCTTTTCTGACTAAAAATAATTTCGAAAATGAGAAGATAACTTTTAGTCGTTACTTATGATTGATGATGACTTAAATTGCCTTTAGTAATGTCTAATGAGGCAATACTTTTCTTTTTAACAAATAAGTCGGATAAAAAAAAAGTCAGAGCCCTTGGGGACAGCTCTTGGAAGATATTATATTCAAGTGAGTGATTAAAAAGAGCAATTGCTTTTCGTCATTAATGGCTAAAGTGTCACTTTCGTAATAAGATCATTGCTGGCTTCCGAAAATTAATGATCGCTTAGACGAGTTGAGAAACTTGTCTCTTCTTCCATCGAAGTAAATGATTTTTGTTTAACTAAATACATACATCTATGAAACTAAAAAGAAACTTTAATTAAGGGAGATAATTAATTTTAAGTGGATGCTTACCAAAATGCAATAAGGAATAAGTGAAGAATTACCTTGCTAACGTCCATTGACTTTATGATCAAATAACAAGCATCCACTTAGTCATTTTAAATCTTATTTGCACGAAATAATACAATAATAGGATTAATTTTGAGGAACAATAAAAATATTTATTTTTTAAGGGTGTAAATATGCAGTGCTATTTCGAATTCAGTTCAAATATTTAACATTTATAAATAGAAAACATTAGATTAATTTATTTGAAGAAAAAAAAATTCTCAGTCGCAATGATATGCTTTCCCAGTTTCTTTTTCGTTTTTTGTTGCAACAGTATAACTGACCTATTAACGATCTATAATGTTCAGTTAAAAAAAAAGCTATTGAAATACTATTGTTGAGAAATAAATATTATTTATTATTTAAACATTCTACATGAACAATAAATATTTAACTTGAAATTTAAAGAAATTATATATGATGACGATTCATGAAATAATTTCAAAATGCCATAAAACATTAGACTCTTACGAAAATCAGAAATAATTATTACGAAAAGGCATTAAAATGCATGTTATGCATTGATTAATGCATGCTATGCATTAGCTAATTCATGTTATGCATTAACTAATGTATGAGCATGTTTTTCAAGAGAAATAAAATAAATGTATTAAATTACGCTACCAACATGACTGTATGCGTTAAACATTATGATTATATGCTCAGAAAAAAGTGAACTCTATAATTGTGTCTATTTAGTTCGTTAAGCAAACTAATGAAAACTGTAAAAGTGTTACTAAATATTTAAAACATTTAAAAAAAGTCTCCAAATATTTTAATCAAGTTAAATTTAGTTCTACCAAACCTAGCATTTTAGAACCCTACAATATTTCACCCTTTGAACTTAAAGGTGACTCTCCTTACCATAAATTACCTACCATTAAATTATGACATTTTTGTGCTTCAATGTTTAGTAACAATTTTATTTAATGGTATCTATGCGTTATATGGTTATTGCGTAAATTGCTGGTTTTGCCTTGTAAACTCTTAGTTGTTGCATTTTTTTTTATTTGGAGAAAGACAAGCAACAATTAAAGTGCTGCTTACACACATCACATTTAACAAACATTTCAGGACTCCATGCTACCGTTTTGTATAATTTCTTCCAGTTAATTTTAAGCGTTGCTCCATTTTTTTTCAGAAATACATCTTCTCCTGATGACTGTGCTAAAATTTTGTCCAAGGGCACTCCGTGGAAAATAAACAAGCAACAGTTAAAGTACCTATTATTTGAAGCGCAGCTTGCAGGTTGTCCCGTTAACGTTGTGACAAACAGATAGGGGATGTAGCTGGGTTTGCATGATTTAAATCATTTGTTTTAAAGCATGATTTAAATCTACGATTTAAATTTTAAACTGTGATTTTTTATAAGAAAATCTGTGATTTCAGCGAACTGATTTTTTTTAAAGTAAATCATTATGTATAAAATATTTTTATAAGGATATTCTTTCGAGTGTGATTCTTTTTAAATTCTGATTTCATTGATATTGAAAGTATTATTCAAAGAAATAACGAAAGGGTAAAATATTATAATTCAAAATAGAATGATGCTTAAATAAAATCAGAGACTAAAGTGGAAAAGGATAATGCTAAGCTGTTAAATTTTAATTTTTCATTAGCAATATGCAAAATCTATAGCTGGCAATAAACATATTTCAATTGCATCCATTAAGTTTTATGGTTGTTTGAGTACTTTGGGTGCTCTTAACGTATTAAATGCATAGTTAGTGCTTACCAGTACTGAGGAATACCACTAATACTGACTTTTTTTGTCCATTGAAGATAACCCTTGAAGGTAAGTGTCATGATGCTATCACAATACCCTCAGTTTTTAACCTTTTGACATTCGCTTAAATTTATAATATCATTTTTGTGACTGCGCCTTTCACCTAGTTTTTTTACTGTGACCGTGAGCCTTCCTAAGCCAGTTGCCCGGATGAAAGCTCATATTTTATTTGTGCTGCTGTAAGAGCTAGGTGAGCTCAATCTTCAAGATTTGATTTCCTTCTCTGCATGCTCAGGAGATAAAGTTAATTCTATAAAATTTGATTATTTATGTGTTTCTAAATCTTGCATTTATGCAATTTTAGTAATTCGGATATATATACCACTTTTCAATCATTATTTTTGAGATAACGTCAGAGAATGCAGAGAAGAAGACACGTGTTCCCTTCGAAGCTCAAGATTTATGTTCCAGTTCCTCTTCATGAATTTATTATAGTGCCTCTTGTGATGTGAAGACTTGTTAAAATAAAAAGAATCAATCCAGAACATGGTCTCCTTTTTTTCCTGATCAGTGAATCTGGGGTTGTATTCCACTGCCTAAAGCAGCCATACGTCATTAAGGCATCATGAGGCATTTTTAAAAACTTCCCAAACAGCCCTCTTTATCTTAACTTCTCTTGAAAAATGCAACAGTTATGACAGAATGTTTTTACCTCCTATATACACGTATTAAATACTTAAATAAATCTATTTGTATTGGAAGTAAGAGACATTTTTTAACCTAATAAAATTAAATATATTAAAATATCCACTTAGTTTAGACGGATTGACAACTTTTTGTGATAGTTTCATCGAGTGGTAGCCGAGTGAATGTTTTAATTAATCTTTCTTTGTTTTGCAGTTTTTATTTAAAGTTGTTTTTCTCACCACTACATGCAATGATTCAATTCAATGTATTAAAATATCCGCTTAGTTTATCAGGATTGACAACTTTTTGTGAAAATTTCATCGAGTGGTAGCTGAGTGAATGTTTTAATTAATCATTCTTTGTTTAGCAGTTCTTATTTAAAGTTATTTTTCTCACCAGTACATGCGAATGATTAAATTAAATGTATTAAAATATCCACTTAGTTTAGTAGGGTTGACATCTTTTTGTGAAAGTTTCATCGAGTGGTAGCTAAGTGAATATTTCAAATTATCATTCTTTGTTTTGAAGATAATATTTAAAGTTATTTTTCTCACCACAGCATACGAATGATTCAAAAGTTTACATTGTTGGATTAAATGATCTCTAAAGTTGCGTGTTTGCAACCAGGAAATGGGGGTTTTTGAGAACTGAAACTCTCATGTCATGTGACTCTCATCACATGTATCTTTTCAAGGTCTAAATATTAATTGAATATAAATGTTATATTTTATGTTTTATTACTCTTCGCTTTTTCAAACTTTGGTCTGCTCTCCTGACCGGACTATAGATAAAAATAACGGTAAATAACCGCAAAATAAATTTTGCAAATATTTGACTATTTTTGCTTGCTTTTTAAAAGGTATAGCATGAGTAAGATATATATAAAGTGGTGAATTATGTAAGCCTACGAATTATTTAGAAATAGTGGTGGATAAAAATCTGCTAAGTTGAATTTATTAAACCAAGAATCACAATTCGTAAACTTCCACTTTAAAATATATATTTGCTGTCCGGAGCAAGTTGGCATCTCTGCTACGGGGACCATATTTCCCAGATTGCGGCTACCTCCTATATTTTTGGAAGAAATCCAAATCTGCTGAAAATATGGTATGTTTATTCAGAAAAAGTACGTTTCTGTGTCTGATTTCGTAACTTAAAATATCGTCTGCACTATTTAATTCGCATATGTAAGGTCACCCAGTGGAAGCATTAAAATGGTGTCCTAGAATGTTAAGATCCGATCATGAGATCAAAAGTTATTCAGGGTTGTTCATTATTGATTTTGACCACTGTACACTGTGTTTACGTTTCTAAAAGATAGTAGTTCAGTAAATAAAAAAATATCATTGAGCAATCTGGTTCTGCGAAATTTGCGAATATAAATTTATATGGTTAAAACCTCAATTGTATATAAAAAATTTCCTTTCATTTGTTTTTATCAATTTTTTAACTAGTGTTTTAATGCATAAAGTATAAGAAAACAAAGATTTTAGTACACTCAAAAAAGGAAAAGAAAACTTAAAAATTTGCAGTAGGTTATACTTGAATTTCATCATATTTTTTTAATAATTATTACCATTTAAAACTTGCTATTTAAGTTTTTTTTTATTTTTTATTTCAAGATTGTGAATGTATAGTAATTTAAATTAGTAATTAAAAAAATCAGAGTTATTTATTTATTTGAGACAAA